CCCCCCCCCCCCCCCCCCCCCGAAGTTGTAGAGGCAGTCCGGAAGGGAGTAAAAGTAGGGGACACGGAAACTTCGGTGTCAGGAATGCTGTTTGCGGATGATTTTGTTGGTATGTCGGACACCCCTGAGGGACTGCAACTACAAATTGACGCGGCGAAGAAGTTTACTGATAAATGGAGATTGTCTGCCAACGTTAAGAAGAGTGCCGTCATGGTGTGCAATGAGGCCAGGGAGGAACCAGTAGAACACACATGGAAGTGGGGGATCGAGGAGGTTGCAGTAGTGGACCAGTACACATACCTCGGAGTAGAGATCGCAAACGACTGCTCGTGGAATGCACACATGTCCAAGGTAGCGGAAAAGGGCAAAGCACGAGCAGGGACGCTGCACCCAATACTCGCAAACCGGCACCTCGATACACGCATCAAATTGGCGGTTTTGAAGAGCGTAATCGTACCGCCGCTAGAGTACGCCGGAGAAGTATGGGAAGGAAATAAGAAGGTAGTGAAAGAACTCGAGGCGGCGCAGATGAAAGCAGCGAAAATTATCCTAGGATGCTCCAAGCGCACAAGTAATGCAGCCGTAAGGGCAGAATTGGGGATCCAATCCCTACGGTCGGGAAGAGACGCAAGGAAGCTGACATGGCAGTATCGCATGTGCGGGATGGGAGAGGAGAGGTTGCCGAGAATAGTCTGGGAGGCGAAGTGGGCAAACAAAAAGAGGGGTAGACAACCCACGGAATGAGTCGTAGAGGACGTATGGAAGGGGTTAGACATCGACGAAGATGAAACGCTGGAAACGGGGGGTCTACAGGGGTTCAAGGAGAAGATATCTGTTGCTTGTGCCGAGAGAGAAGAACAGAATCTAAGGAAAGAAACCAAGGATAAGGAGGGTCTAGAAGTGTACGGAATGTTGAAAGAAGGAATAGGGTTCAAGGATTACCTACATGGACCAATGGATGCAGGGACAAAGCTTAAGGTCAAATTCAGGACCGGGGACATAGGCCTTCGAGAACGTCGACGAAGACATTGGACGGTAGACGACGAAGACGACAAGTTCAAATGTGATTGCGGCTTCGAATGCGAAGACCGTGTTCATGTAGTCGCGGAATGTCCGTGGTATGAAGAGGAGAGGGAAGTGTACATGACTGAGCTGGGAAATATACAAGGGACGTACAGGGAGATGTTTGAGGCATGGGATAGAGAGGAGAGGATGGTAGCTGTACTGGGGAGTAGGAAGTGGTTTGAAAAGGCGGGAAGGGATATCGTTAGGATAGACAGACTAGGAAAGACATTTTTGAGCCACCTTTGGCAAAGTAGGAAGGAACGATTGGCCATCGGTGATCGGTCCTGTGGGAACAATGCTCCTTCTTCTCGAGGACGCGTGGTTCATGGTCTAACCGCTAAGGCATGCAAAACATAAGAGTACGCCCCC